TTGCAACTCAAAAAACCATAGTATATCTATTAAAAACACAGTATTTTAAACAAAGAACCCAACATAAACAAACGAAAAATCAAGGAATCCATCTTAATTGAACAAAACAACCCTAATTTTATCAAAGAACCCAACATAAACAAACGAAAAATCAAGGAATCCATCTTAATTGAACAAAACAACCCTACTCTAAACCAACACCCCGGGGTGCCTAGATACCTCTTTTAAGTTTTGCAACAGTTCCGGTCATGTGACTTCTTTGTTCAATACTGTATATATATATCCGTGTCAGTGTAAATTACTTGTACCTGATGATGACAAAACCTTGTTGAAACTTGTACAATTACTGTTATGTTAAACTTATATTAAAGTTTTTCTTCATTACCCATTTAAGCCGTCTCCAACCATTATTAGTTAAGTGTTGTCCTCCAAAAAGAAAAAAGAAAAAAAAAAGAACGTTGTTTGAAGCTAGAAAGATTAGGATTTGATCCAGAACTATCCAAATTAGTAGAATAGAGTTCTTACCAACTGGAAATTTATTATTATGTTATTATTTTTGTTATTTTTAGTGGTAATCATGTATTTGTCAAGAATAGAAGTAACAAAACCCTGGTAATAATAACTGAATTAAAAGCAATGCTGTGGCAAGCTAGCCTACTATTTCAGCAAACCTTGAGTTAAGCCTAACCTTAATCTAATTTCAAAAACAGGGAGGGAAGACAGCAGACTTAGAAACCAAATGGGGATTATTTTTCAGTTGGTATGCACATATAAAAACTGAATGAATGAAAGTTGTGTATAACTCAAATTGAGGAGGAACAAACATGTATCTGTGAATAGGTTTCAGGAGTTTATCTTTTCAAGTTTTTACACCTTGAGTACTGCAAATAACCAACTACATTCAGTTAACAGTCACCAAAAATACCTTGCAATAGCTATCTATTCATTACATGTATTTAAAGATCTCATAACAGACATCTAAATATATATATATATATATATATATCATACCAAATCTGTGGATCAATATAACAGTCATAAATTTATATATAATGTTTCTCACAAAATTTAGTTAAGTGTTGTTTATATATATATATAAAAGAAATACTAAAAACAAGTGAATACAAACACATTAAATCATGTAGTTGAAAGAATAATTGCACGATAGAGGGAAGTTTCTAACTGATATAAGCTTTTATATAGCAATCACTACATCACCTGTAACACACAGTACTTGAAGCCTACAAAGAAATATCACAGGAGAAAGTGGATTAGGTGATACCAACCTTCAAGAATTTGGTCAGTAAATCTAGTCCTTCACAGTCCAGTCTTGGTACCCTGTTCACGAGAGGCTCAAGTTCATACTTAGGAAACTTAAAGTTCTGAAACTCTTCAATATGGGTGAGCCCTGGCCATGTTTCTTCTGTTGGCGTTCCAAGAGTTCGAAAAATTAAATGAAGTTCGTCTTCCACGGTAGACCCGGGAAAGAGGGGTCGTCCACTAGCCATTTCGAAAAATATACACCCTACACCCCTGGATAGTTTTAAAACAGTAACAATCCTTCTGAACATTAAAATAATAATACATAAACAAAATATCAGATCATGACAACATGTGAAAACTTCCCTTATCCCTGGAACTTATAAACTGACATCAGGAAGTATACATAAAACTTCTGTGAAATCAAAGAACATACGTTTTTATCAACTTCTACTCAAATTTTTTCTACACCTCATTTAATTTAAATAATACACTAAAATCATTCTAATTATTTTTCTTTTAAACATCACTAGTAAATAACAAGTTATTTTACACATGATGAAATACTTAAGACTAGTTTGAAAAAAATTGAGGGTTTATTATGGTACCGAATCAGACCAAATAAAATACTGTTAGCTGCTCAGCAGTTTCTGAATCTATCAGAATTATAGATAAGTAAGACTTTTTTGTGTGTTTGGATATTACAATCCGTTGTTTCCTTTGAAACAGTCACAATTATACATACAATACTCATAATCAGCTTATGGGAATATGAAGATGCAGATTTAACCCTATAGCTACAGGTTTTCCTACAGGTAGGTATCAGAGGGCATGTAATCACATTTGTAGACTTCCATTGAAAGTTTTATTGAACTACTATTTTATGAATGTATGACAATAAGTTTGGAATTAAATTGTACATTATAATTCAAATTTTAGAATTATATATTAGTTAATTTCTTAATTTAAAAGTAAATATTAAAAAAGATTCCTAAATATTGATTTTTGTGTGTCATGTGGTATGTCGAATGCAGCTTTGGTTCAAATTAGATGTGCTGAAGTCCAATTACAAAGTCTATAGTTTCTTACTCTTATGAAATAGCAACTCAAATTACCAATATTGACAAGTTAAAATATAAAATAAGAACCTCCTATCTTTTCTATTTGCTGAGATATCACTATATTTAATGAATCAAACGTAGTGGCCCTACTCACTCCTTCCATTTTTAGAAATACTTGTTTAGGTACACCAACTTTGCTTTATAACATATTTATAATCAATCAAAAGTTCAGAATTTTCTCCACGTGGTTTTATCAGCCTTTGCAAGGTGTCTATTTGACAGAAATAGTCTTTTTGTCTCGAAGCTCGAAGAGAAGGGGAAAGACAAAAGGGTGATCGAAGAAATATTTATTTTAGCCCCAAATACAACTTAGTTACTAAGCCTGAGATACAACAGTGAAAACAATACACAAAGAGTTAATTAAGCTTGACTCTTGTAACTAAATTCAGAACACACTAAGCAGTAAATCCAAACTAAACTTCCAGCTTACACTCAAAACTTGCATCAGGTTCTTAGTGACATCTCACTTCAACAAAAAACATCATACTGCACATGTCATGAGGTTTGTAGTGACTTACATTTTTGTAGTGACTTACTACTATTTGTTTGTTATACCAATTAATATGTCATAAAATCATAACTAATAATCCATATTTTAATGGTATATAAGTTTTAAGTTCTTAATTTTATAAGGCAATATTAAGAAAATCCTGAATTTACCCTAGTGTGAGGAATGACATTTTTTCCCTAGGCATCCCCTCTTCTCTTAATTATTAACCACCTCTCCAATTACAACAAAATTTCACTATACAATCGTCATTGCTCAGACAAACCATAATTTTTATAGCCTTAAATCCTGTTTGATTACAGAGCCATCAAATAGAAAATCAGATCCCTCTTGATGCATCCTCTCTTTCAGGATTTGTTAATAGTTTTCTCTTAAATTTAATACTACATTATTTACAACTAATAGAATGTCAAGGTTTTCATCTATCAAATGTCATATTTTATTACTTTGTTTTCTGAACAGAGAATTGTCATTTTCTCTTATAGTACAAGCTTCATTCCAGCAGGAAATACATTGACTAGCTTCAATGAATTTGTAGCAGCTCTTGTCATATAGTTAGAATGACAGAAAAATTGTGATAGTTATGGGAAATTGTCTGCTTTTTACATGTTATTATTCTTTGTTCTTTGGTACATTATTTAATTAAATAAAAATTTAGTGCATTACTATCATTAGTATAAAAAAAAAGTAGGGTTAAGTGTCATCGACAGTCGACAAGAAAAAAGAAAACCTGGGTAACTACTTTATTTAATGTTTTTCACGTGTACTCTTTATTTCTTATTATAAAAGTAACTAAAATGTAAGAACATGAACCTCTTTAGGTCATTCAAAGTTAGGTTAGGTAAAATAAATAATAATAATATAATAAAAATGTTTCACAATGATCACACGCGCGTAGCTTGTGAGTAAGGTAACTCGATAGCATAACGTGAGCTCCACATTCCCCAAGTGATTCACAACTTATAATGGTACAAAAAGTAGTTAGACATTGTTTTAAAAGCAATCAAAGGACAATAAAACAATAAAAGTTAGTAGTATCAAAATTATAACGACTTTACACGGGTACAAAGTGGTCACATGGTTGGTCAATTCGACCGAGCCAGTGTAGAGAGTTAATGCAAACAGCCCATACATACTGGAAAATTTGTCAACGTCTGTAATCACATTTTAGTCAAGAAGTATTTAGATTAAAATCATTACACTTAATAAGATAAAAAACCAGCATGAGAAATTATGAAAAGCCTTATCACCTCACTTACCACAAGTCAATAGAGGTAGTGTATTCTGTAGAGCCTAACAAAACATCTGGGGGTCGATACCTATAAAAGTACAGTGGAGAACTAAGTTTGATATTCATATTATTATGACGATTGTTTCATATACATAAAGCTCATCTAAAAAACTCATGTCTAAAATGTTAAAATTCTGCACAAGGTTATTAATAAAGTAAAATGCATGTACCACTATCTAGCATAAAAATTATATAGAATTGATTACAAACAAAATTCATAGTCTATGTTCATCTTTAAGATCAAAGTTAATGTGAAATATGAAATGTTACACTCACCACAGCGTAACAACTTCATTCGAATATGTTTTTGTTGGAACAGACTTAGCTCGGGCAAGTCCTAAAACACAGATATGTACAGTTTATTAGACACAAAATGTTAAACAAGGCAATTCTTTTGTTCTTCTGTAAACAAAAAAACTAGCAATTCTTGAAAATACTCTACAAGTTGACAAATCTTCCAACAAAAAGTCACTTTTGTTTTGCTTTAACCTATGTTAATCTTGAAAACAATCAAAGCGCTGTTCCTCTCTAATAAAGAACAGTCTACTTGAAGTTATTCAATCTGCTTAGGAATCAATCCATTAATCACAAGTAAAGAAAACATTTCAAAAAAAGGATGTAAATGTAGGGATGGCTAATATCAATGCAAAGAAGATAGTAGGGATGGCAATTACATCATCCCTATATAATAGCACAGACACACAGTGCAGTAGAATGTTAACAGGCAAAATACAGTAAATTAAACTTAATTGTGATTGAATAGTTATGTATATTACTGTCTTGTTTGCATTGTTTTTGAAGGATTGATATTAGCTACCCATACATTTATTTCCTTTCTTGGAAAGTTTTTCTTTACTCGCTTATTTTTAATGCAGTGTTTCAATAGATATAGGAAGGTTTTATTTATAACAATGTTCTAAATGCAATGAGACTTCAACTGTGTAATTTATTGTTTATCTATTACTGGCTGGTAATTCCTGTTTCACCCTGTACTTAAGTTTTTTGAAGGAACACTAAATTTCTGTAAGAAAACTAACTTCAAGGGGTAATGATAACATCGTTTACATTAGAATTATGAATTTTTTTTAAAATTACTATTAGTTATTAATAATACTTATAAAAGCAGATACTCTGTTTGAAACTAAGTCACCTCAGTGAATGTAGTTGACACCATAGTTTTGTTTTGAGTTATCATGTAATAAAAAAAGAACAAGAAATTTAAACTTTTTGTTACAATATTTATAGACACTTCCAGAACTTGCGACTCAGTCATTACATAGATATTGTTATAAAAGTTATCATTTTCCTAAATTGAAAATGAATTTCCAAACATACTTACCTCCGCTGACACTAATAGCTATTTCTCGATCTTCATCTTTGCAATCTAACTTTGTGTTCGCTTGCTCCAGTCTTTATATATCCCACTCGACTGCCTTGGGCAATATCTAACTTGCTAAACTTTACGCTGGCTCTCATATGCCCTCTACGCAAGTACTGTATATAAGCACTGTATGCAGACAATAAAATCACTGTTTCGAGACTTACCTCATTCCGGTCACTAAAACCGGCTCTTTGTGTCAGTGGAGGTAAGTATGTTTGGAAATACATTTTCAGTTTAAGAAAATGATAACTTCAAAAACATACATACCTCTGCTAACACTAATAGCTAGAATCCCACATTGATAAGGCGGAGGGGCCGAAGAGGACAGATCATACAGAAAGTGTCTGCAGAAAACAAATATGTACCACGAGAAGTGGTATCAAAGTTGGGAACACCACACTACATCCAGAACAGGTATGCTCTTCACCCAAAACTATAGAAAATTGAAAAGGGTGGAATATAATACAAGTATGATGGTCCAGCCCCGACCAAACAGCTGAGGTTCCAGAACTCCGGTTTGATTTAAGGGGTCATGGTACCCATATCCCACATTGGTGGCCAGGGCAGTTGGACCACAGATATAAATATATATATCTTTGTGATAGAATCCATACCAGTAACCACAGAATGATGCAATTTGAACCACCAAATTTATGAAAGAAAGAAAGCAACACCAAAGTGGACAATCTTTCTGATCAACCTGAAAAAGTCCAAAAGGCAACATCCCAGGTCTGGACTGATGGAATCATATGCAATACTCCACCAAAGTCCAGAACTCATCCAGTCTGGATTTACAAACAGTTGTCTTTACTCCCCCACCAAGTGGGCAAGGAGAATTCTGCTTACTCATGGAATTATGGAGAGTATGTGGAACACTGTCCCATCAAGGACCAAAGATGGGACCATGTCACGTTCGGATTTACGATGAGATATTTCGGAAACAGAGATCCCAAAAACGAGTACCTCCCTGACAAGAAAGATAAGAGACCACCATGGAGTTGTCTGAGTGAATTATGACTATTTTCCCAATCAAGATAGGAAGATCTTGAATCACTGCTCGATGTACTGCAAGAAGTTCCAGAACGTTGATATGCAGGGTAGATTCAGAGTTCATCCAAATGCTCTGGAATTCCTGTCCCTGAAGAAAAGTGCCCATCCATGAAAAGATGGATATCTGGCCGAGGAGGTGGTATTTGAACCACGATAGTCATGTTGTTCCTGTCTAACCACCACAGGAGATCTGCAATCTCGTTCTCGAACAAAGAGACTGGTTGATCCAAATGATTGATGTGCATGCTCCATTGGTCGCGAAGTGCCCACTGAAGAGACCTCATATGGGCCTGACCCAATGGTACAAGGGATTCGATAGAAACCCAAATCCCAAAAACAGGCAGAACCCTCCACGCAGTGGGAAAAGGTGATATAATCAAAAGCCTGACAATTTATTCCATATGTTGAAGCCGGAGGGGAGATGGTTGAGCCCTGCCCAAATTGGTGTTGAAAAACACTCCTAGATGGATCAGGTATTGAGTTGGCAAAAGAATGGATTTTTCCAACCTGATAATGAAGCCTGTTTTTCTGGCTTTGGAAAAGAGAATCTGAGTGTGTTGTTTGGCAATATGATGAGTTGGTGCCAAATCCAATCGTCCATATAGTGATGTGTGCACAGACCCAGAAAATGAAGATGCCGAGCAAAGGCCTGTAGAACTCGGCAGAAGACATACGGTGCTGAAGCAAGTCCAAATGGGAGAGTACTAAACTGGAACACTTGATTCTCATGCACAAAACGATGAGAAGATTCTGCTATGAGGATGTGAAGATAGGCCTCTGCAACATTGAACTTGGTCATCTAAAGACCTGATGAGAAGTGTCATTGAAGTTGAAGAAAAGATTACATGGTGAAACAAGGAGGCTGAAGAAAAAGATCTGGTCGAGTTACGTCGATGATAGGGTGCCAATCTCCAGTTTTCTCGGGCATCAGAAAGAGATGAGAATAGCATCCTGGATGAATGGGATCAATCTTCTCGATGGCTCATTTGAGAAACAACTCCTGAATGGCTTGGGCTCGAGGATCTGTACATCTGAGGTCTGAAAGAGGAGGACAGGGGAGGGGGAGAAGTAAACTGAATCTCGAATCCCAACTCCAGCACTCTGAGAACCCAATGATCGATGGTGAAAGAATGCCAAACATGTTGAAACAGATGTAACAGTCCTCCCACAGGATTTGGTGAAAATAGGTAGTTTCCGACACTGCTGGCGCCGTTGTGCTCTATATACTAAACTAAGGATGGAAATTATTAGGAGAACCAATGGAACAAGGAGTAGAAGGAGGGATCTTTGAAACACGAAGGGATGAACCTGCAGAAGTACCAGTTGAAGTGGAATAGAGCTGAGCAGCCAAAGACGATAAAGAAGACTGCAAACGAGCTGTATCAACTCGGGCTTCTAAAGATTCTGGAATTCCAGCAAATAAATAAGGCTGAAGAAAAGGCACTTCTTGTAAATTTCAAAGGGCAAAAGAAAGTAAATGAATACCCTCCAAAATAGCATCACGACTCAACAAGTCCCAGCAACAGACCAACCACGACACCAAGGCAAGTCCTGAAGAGGACAGATGTGTCACAGTAGAGACCAGTAAAAAGCCCAGTTCATTGTCAAATTGTTGAGGTGATCGGTGATATACTTCAGACAAAAGTTGAAGGGAAGACAAGTATTTTAAAACAGTGGTAAAAGTCAAACGAATCCACGAAAATTGAACCCTCTTAAGATCCAACAATGGATTCAACCTTTGAGTGTCCAAATATATATCATTCCTGATTTTGGGGGGGGGGGGGAAGGATAGCTACACGTAATTGTGTTGCAAACCTCCCTGCATGCACAGCAATATTATTAGAGGGAGAAAAACTAAGAAATCCCCTTGAGATCGATCAGACAACAAAGCAGTGGTAAACTCAAAATCAACTGGTTGCATCTCCAATACATCACAAACATGTGCAACTAACTGCAAAAAAGGGGCAGAAGGTGGCTGATCAGATGAGTCCTCAGGAGAGGAAACTCCAGTGAAAGTAGGAGCAGGGAACAGGGAGTCTAAATTCTCCCCAGAATATCCAGTTTCAGAATGAAAATTCAAACAAACACCTCCCGGAGAGATACCCCTGGGTCGCATGAAGGACTCCATCTCGCCCCGATTCCAGTCATGGACATTTTCCACGGAGAGTGGCTCACCACTAAATAACAAAGGAGGAATAGATGAAAGCTAAGTAGCCTCCCTGCTTGAAACTATTGCACTGGAAATCATGTCCAATTTTTTTTTGTAGGAAAAAAAAATTCAACGAAATATGTCTCTAGATAACAAAACAAAAAAATTCCCGATTATTAGAAGGCAAAAACTAAGAAAATGTAATTCAAAAAACGTTAGTGTGAATGCTCGTGCTTTGTTGAGAAAAATAATTTTATTGTCTGCATATAGTGCTTAAATACAGGACCTGAATAGAGGGTGTGTGAGGGCCAGCATAAAGTTTTGCAAATTAGATATTGCTGAAGCCAGTCGAGTGGGGTATATAAAGACTGGAGCAAGTGAACACAACGTTAGATGGCAAAGATGAAGATCGAGAAATAGCTAATAGTGTCAACGGAGGTATGTTTGTATGTTTTGGAAGGAAACACTGTATAGTATTGTAAAGTTGTGATGGCCTATTGAGGAGATATTTAAAATACCATTTCGATGAACAAGTCAAGACATCCCTACACAGGCAGTGCTATCGCCTTGCCTGATATGTCAGTAAAATTACAAATACTGATTTTTCTTAACCAAACAATCATTATTCTGTTTCTTCTACAAAACAGCCAATCTACTTGATATCTGTTAGCAAAATAATCTTGATTATCTCATTGTGGCACTCGCTAAAAACAATGAATTCAATTGAAACTTGTTAAACAAAACTCAAACATTAATTCTTTTATCTGAACACTCATTTACGCTGTTGCTTCTATTAAACAGTCATCCAGGTAGTTAATTGATGGCAAAACTTTATGTCTTCAGCACCTAAACACTTCCAGCCTTTTCTTCTACTCAACATTAAACTTTCTGGTCATGTACTAGTAAGGCTTCATTCCTTAATTTTATTTGTCTCGGCAATTACTATCTTTCTACATTATAATTAGAATGGTCTACCAGCAGCTATGTTTGTTTAAATATCTACTAAGTTGAAAATGACAATACATTGTATATTGTTACTTTGAACATATATTAAATACAGGCATCACAACAAGTTCATAATATATAGGATTAATATTAATAACAAATACTCAGATCCTCCAAGGAGGTGGTTGGCTTCAGATTACCATAAAGTGAGAAACCCATTTCTCACCAGTTAATGAAGACTTTAAATTTTAAACCTACATTTCTTGTTCTAAATAAACTTATTTAATGCAGTTTGCATGAAAGAAAATGCACTGTACAAATCACAAAATGTTTGCGCTCTGAGAGAAAGGACTCAAATAATTAATAGTCACATTACTAATTCTTAATGTTTAGAACTTTATTGAATAAGTCTTAGCTCATTCAAACCTTGTAAAACACTAGCTTGAATGCTGATTTATATATACATGTATATATAAATGGCTAGAAGCCCCATCAAGACAAAACAGTACATAAATAAAATCAATCAGGTATATATAATAAAGCAAACTGTAATAAATTCTTACCAAAGTCTGCTAATTTTAATTCCCCCCTGTCATTAATGAGCAAATTCTGTGGTTTGAGATCTCGATGAAGTATACGTCTGCGATGACAGTATGCTAAACCACGTAATAACTGGAACAGAAAGAGCTAGAAAAAAAAAGAAACATTTAGAGCAAAATTTGACTATTTCTGAGACAAAATTCATTGAGTGATCATATTAGAATTAACACACTTTTTTAATAAATCACCACTAGTGTCTTAGCAATGACAAAATTCACTAAAATACATATAATTAACAGACCTGTATCAAGCTTAAAAGTAATCTTTTTTTCTTACCAGGAAATAAAGTTTATTAGAATTAAGTAAAACAATAATTTTAATTTGTTAATGATACTGTTTGTAAGTGAATTAAAACAAAGTAACTGTTTACAACATATTCGTGGTGTACCCATGATTGTATTCTAATGCATTGTACATTTAAGTGAGAAATATAAGTCGTTATCAAATAATTAAGAAAATTAAAATTATTTACAGAAATATGTTTTTACATAAAACATATTGTTCTCATGTCCAACGATAAGACAAACACCATATGTGCAAACAAATTTACTGCTGCCATGTAGCATCGTAACATCCTTGTCTGTTACTACAAGTATAATTCATAAAATGACTTAGTTGTTAATGTTTCTCAAGTTTTGTGATTTGTAGGCTTTTTTTATATTTTAAACTCCAAAAAAAAATTGAAGGAAGACTGAGCCTTGTATAGAAATTGTACATCAAGTTTGACATGATGAAACTATATCAGAGGTTGAGTTAAGCAGTTATTTCAACCTTAACATAAAAGATGTAGGTGATTTTCTATAAGCAAACCATAAATAAGCAAAAAAATACAAAACTAAGGATCTGACCAAATGGTGTTAAGAAGTACAACATACTTAATGTACATTTGACAAAGAGGAAGAAGAAAAAATGGCAAAAAATGTTCTGAAAATAATAAAACAACAAGCCTTTCCCCAAAGAATGCTATGTTCTACCGTAAATAGCGATGTAATCACCAGAGACCAAGGTATACCTACATGCACATGTTAATGTGAAGGTTTCTGCATACCTTAACATTATTCATACTGAGTATGTTCCCACAATCATCCATATACTGTTTCAGATCCTTTTCCTGAAATAAAGAAAAATGGGTTACAGTATATAATGCCTCAACATTAATTTCATTAAGTATTATTGGGATTATGGCTGAAGGGTATCCAAAAAATAGATCAATGCATTCTAATTATACTAAGTTTTATTTAAAAAGAATCCTAATCTGACTGGTCTTTTAAATTGGCTACATTATTACAGGGTTAATTTTAAGTTCCAGTAGTACCCCCCCCCCTTTTTTTTTATCAGAAGTTACTGTTAAGGATATCTATCCACCACACCAATAATGATTTAAATAATGTCTATGTCACAAACCATCACATTTACTTAGTATTTACTATAACATTTATTTCATATTTACCATAATATTGTGATGTTAGTACTCAGCATGTTTCTCTAGGAGTTGCCATCACATTTATTCAGTAATTATCAATAGATAAATTACTATTGTTTACAAACATTTTAATTTTGTATTTACTAACACACTTAATTACTTACTCTAACATTACACAGTCTGTATGGAGCAATTAAACACAGGTATGTCACAAAATACCTTCAATATAAGAGAACTGAAAGTTTTTTACATGAAACAGTTATATTGTGCATTTTGAACAGTAGCTTTTTACTCAATGAACTCACCCTGAAGCTTAGTTAAATCATGGTTCATACTGAATTGCTTAGATCAATTTTAAGCACTTTTCAAGGACTTTCTAAGCACTCTCAAAATGGTTTTCAAGCACTTTGAAAGCTAAAATCTACATCAAAATCAATCAGATTCCACTGAAATTTTATAAAATTCCTATTTATTTGTTCAACATAAGAATGTAGACTAAAAAAAAAAGAAAAGAAAGACTATTCATTGCGCTCAACTCTGCAGCATGCAATAAAGTTAGATATATCGATATATTCTGGTATTATAATATTTTCAAAGTCTTTTTCAAAAAAATGGCCCCTTTCAAGAACTTTCAAGGATGCATATGCACCCTGTTAAATAAGTTATTTGATTTCTTGTCTCTCACAAAATCTCCTCATTATTAAATTTTATTTAGCAACTTTTGAAGATCAGTTTTAGATGCAACAGCTTTTTTATGTGCTTCCTCTCACTATCAGAGTCAACTAACAGAATCTGAAAACTATACAATCCTTGTTTACATTTGACTTTAAAATACACATAATAACAGCAAATTTACATAAACAGTAAAATATAACAAAAATATCAAGTTTGTTTTTTAGATATAAAACTTAAAGATAGCTCACAGTACCCATTCTAGGGACAAACAATGATTATTGCTATTTTGAAATAAGTTCTTAAATGTATTTTTCTTAAAATATAGAACAGTAAATAAAGAAGTAAAGCAAACAATTTTCTCTTATAGTTACAACCTTTATACTCAGTTGCTGCTTGATGTAGGTTGCTAAGCCTTTAAAAATTTTGCACGTGGAGGATATGAAACAAAATAATTTGTTTAGGTTTTATACATACATTTCAATAGTTAAAAAAATCATATTAACAAACCACATTACAAAATACCTGACAGGAGTTAAATAATTTTAGCACATAAATTAAAGTACATTAAAAGCATTTTCTTCTTTATCAACTGGTAATCCTTGACGCTACTGTTGTGAAAATCTACAGTGCACCACATGTCAATGATATGACTATCCATAATACCCAAAACCCACTTTGATAACTGCCTAAGTGCTTTTCTTCCAAGAGCAGTCACAGAAATAATCATATATTATACTTAGCTAAGTGCATAGCACAGTGGATAGCGCGTTGGATTTTCTAATCCAAAGGTACCGGGTTCGTTCTCCGGCAGGGATGCCACCACCATTGCCTGGTCCCAAGTCCAGGATGAGAAGGAGGAGGTTGGGTGTGGGGCTAGCAACTCTG